ACGGCATCCTTAAACTCGTTCAGTTTTTAAATAATATAACCTTTAAACCAAGCATAAGGAAATAAATTTTGATATCTTGGTAAAGATAAATGATTACGGACTGAAGATTGTAACTTTATTATATTATTCCTTAAATGTAAATTAATATCATGACTAAGGAGGATAATGGTATCCGAAAAATGACGGAGATAATTTTTCCATATTCTAAAACCGAACACATCGAGGGGTTGAATCTTTCCAGTGGTACCTTTTGGTATCAACATAGTTAATAACTCTTTATTTGGAGGTGCTGCTTATAGATGGTTTTTTTTCGGTCCACACATAGCAAAAGAAGGCTAAACTTTTTGAAGAAATTCGTCGGTTGTTTTTGTAGAGTTTCTCGATTCTCTAATGTCTTGCGCGTGACGAATTTGTTAATTTCCCGAGATGTGATGTGATGTTCTTTCTTGAAATGATGTAACCACCATGGTGAAGCCGTGAAACAAATGCCTTCAAATCCTATATATTTCCGAGCTTGCAGAGCCCACCTCCGTAGGTCAGTGTCGTAAACAATCAATCCCGCATCAATTGCGTTTTTCATATTATTCAATGTATACTCCGAAATACGCTTCAACTTCTCCATATATGTCCCTCCTATATTGATTTGATGTGCCCATCGACGTAACTGTCGAATGGATTTCACCTTTTTGAATCGATTCGAAACTGTTTTCACAGAAAGATTTTGTTTCGTCTTTGCACTTCTCCAGAATTCTACTGCTCGCCGCTTATAGTCAAAATCTACAGATTCCTCATCTAGCGAACCACTTTCAGATGATTCTTTATTATGTGGTTAAAATTCTTTATTTTCAACCGCGATCATTTCTATATCTTTATAAGGCTCTCCAAAAACCAGGGATGTTTCTTCAATCATTTCCACACTATTGTTTTCCTCTATGGATCGAAGTAAAATTGTTTGGAAAGTATCCACTAATTCGCGTTCCGCATTGTTCACGGACGTTTCAGCAAGATTTTAAACTTCAAATGTTGCCATGAGAAGTCTGATGACGTTCATTGTATTAATTTTCATCATAAAGCGGTCACAAAATACAACACTCACTGCTAGACAGTGTTTCTCGATAGATTTTGTTAGACTGATCGTGAATTGCATGGAAGATGAAAGCCAAAAATACATATTTATCCACATGATTTTATTCTTAAACAATAGAAGTCACATTCGAATCGATATTTTTATTCTGCCGTATACGATCCCGTTACGGTCCTGTATATAAACATCGCTGTTGTACGACCACCTCAATTGTATGTTATTTTTAATTTCTTATGCTCTACATAATTTTCGGCTTATCTATGACCACTTGCCAAATTTATCCACTCCCAGTACTACCCCCTCGCACTGCTTCATCAGAACGTTCAAGAACACGTATTTCGGTCTCGAAAATGCAGACGATGGATTTTTCTATTGCCTCCCTATTCAGATTCCAGAAACAAAAAAATAAACGAACAAGGTTCTCTGTATTTTTCTAATTCTGTTGCGAATAGTGATTTTATAAAATTACAGGTTATATATTTCTCCATTTGAAAAGGGATTTTCTAGGAGGGTAGTTGGCCCTCACATTTAACACCCCCGGAGGTGAATTTCATTGTTAATCTCATCGGTTCTCACGAGCTTTGTGTTACACCACGCAAAATTTAAAATTGAAAAATTACAAGAAATTAATTTTTTTCGCCGTTGAAGTGCAATCTGTAGAAAAAAAAACCAAAAGAAGGTATTCTGTCTTTGTGAAAGCTCTTTCGAATGGAATTGGTTGCATGAAATTCGGAGCAATATTTTTTTTTTTTAAATTGGAAAAATAATTTTTCGCGGGGTTAGTTCACCCGCCAAAATTTCGAACCCTGGAGATGGTTTTAATTCACATATTCATCATTCATCATTAGCTTCCTCTCACATGGCAAAATATTTGTCTGAGTATTCTCTTTATATACGCAAACGACAAAATACACTGAGACGTGGCCAACTTTAGAGGACAGGTTTGCCCCAAAAATCCACGTATTAGCCGATAAGAAAAAATACGTGTCCCTTAGTTTTGACTCCTCTATAATATGGTTACATACCAAAAGTTCTCGGTCAAAAGTTCTCCGACAAAAGTTCCCCGTCCAAAATCCCCCACGTCAAAAGTTCTCCAGGCCCAAAGTTCTCCACGTCAAAAGGTCCCCCGTTAAAAGTTCCCCACGTCAAAACATCCGCGACCCGAAAACTACCACGTCAAAACTCACGCATAGAAATCTCATCGAAATCTTAAGGAAACTAAATAGAATTCCAATAGAATTATACTAGAATTACGTAAGGAATTCGCTAGGATTTCCTATTAAATTTTTCCATGCGTGCTTCCCCCAGACAAAAAATACTATATATATATACACCAATCCCAAAATTCCTACGCCAAGTACCCCCCGCCTTTACTAACTGGACATGATATCACCTAAAACGGAGACGATGGAGAGGGAAGTGCTCCTGCATAATCGTTCATCAGTTGTGTGCGGTTATTCACTGTGTTTACAAGTCCTCACAATGCCGCTACACTTTATGACAAATCAACAAGGCAATCGCGATCTAGTGGATGACGGGCACATCCTTCACAAAGACAAACCGCTAACAAATGGAATTTCCTGGCGATGTGAATTAGCCAAAACAAAAAAATGCCCAGGAAGAGTACACACCACATCGGATAAACGTACTGGTCAGTGAAAACCATCCCCATATCATGTGACATAATGAAAACAATACATTAAACGCTCAAAATCATCTGACGGTAGAAATTACGGTTCAAGAGAAAAATGACGGGAGAAATTATGACTCAAGGGACAATTGACACGAGAAGTTTTGACAGAGCGAAAATGGACAGAGAACTTTTGACGGAGAGATTTTGGCCTGTCACCCTATAATATATATAAGTTTCATCAAAATCGAAAGCGGACATCCTACCTAGGGTTCCTTGTAAGTTATGTGAAGACGTATCGATTGCATGAAAAAAATTAAATCGGAACGTTCGTTCAACCGGAATCGTTGGACAAACTTTTACTCCCATAAGCAACACACACATTCATCTAAAAACTTCATTGAACGTTTGTAGAGGTCGTGTAACATGAAGATATGATAAAATTTCCAATACCCGATACGATATAACGGGAAATTGATAACTAGTACTTGATATCTTTTATATTGCTGTTTTTATATGTTGTTCAGTTTATACCAATATTATTTTACTGAATACATGCGGTGTTCTTTAGTGTTTTCATTGAGAAATGAAAAAATGCCAATCATCAGGACAACATATGTAGTTGATGTTCATGATTGTTTCACCGTTCCGATTATCCTACATGCTTCTCCCGGTTGAACCTTGCGACGTTTGACTTTCGACAGAAATGACCTTTATGACCATCGTGTGTATCGATAGTTGCGCAGGGGATTTCGAATCAGTTATTCATCTTTTTACCATCTCCACGTGAATCATCAGTATATTACTAGGTATCGTAGGCGACTCTGATAGTCAGTGAGCTACCCAGCCCTGATTTTACGTAAGATCTTGCGGCGGGGGGGGGGTCCCATTAANGGGGGGGGGGGGGGGGTCCCATTAAATCTTGGTATTTCTTATATAGGGGGAGGGGAGGTCAAAAATGTGTAAAAATCGTCTTACGGAATATAAGGACGGTCTCAACATCCTGCGTGAATCACCCTGAAGAAGACACATTCTGCGTGAATCAATCAGAATAAAAATGGCTTGTGTGAACCGCTTCCGTCTGTATAAGTACAGCGTGAATCACTTGGCGCACCCTTGCGTAAATCATTATGGTCATTTTCGTGACACATGTTACATCACCCCCCC